GTCCCGGCCCCAATCACCAGCAAGAGCTATTTTTCCTTTCCTTACAGTAGGTCCCAAGTCCACCCCTTCAGCACAGCCCACGATGCCCCTCCAGAGTCTTCCAGTATGAGGCAGTGACCTGTGCCCATCTCAAACATGTGCAGTGCCTCTGGCCATAACCCTCCTGGAGGTCTCCCCTGAAGGGTGAAAGGCCCCTGCTCCTGCAAGAGCAGCGATGGGCACTCTCTCACCCCCTTTTTCCTATTGGGCCCCCACTGCTCTCCCCTCCATCTCGGTCTCTCGTCCTGTCACTCCTTCCGTCCACTACCTCTCCACAATGAACACACTTTTCTCCCTGTGCCTGCCCTGCCAGTCAGGCTGGGGACAGTCAGCCAGATGTGAATGAAGCTGCTATCACTCCTCCTGGTTGCTGTTCTTCTTTTTTTTAATTTTGTAATATTTTTACTTAAGGAACCGTGATTTACAGGTTGTTGACAGTTGAGTTTCAGCATATGATATTTCAACACCAATTCCAGTACCAGTGCTGCTTCCATCCACCAGTGTGCCCATACTCTGTGCCCGGGCTCCCTGTATCAGATCCCCTGCTCTTGTGACGCTGAGTGTGCACTTCGGAATACAGCGATGCCACTACCCAGAGTCAGAAATGTGAAGGAACCCCCCAGGCCTTAAACCCAGCCAGCACTCTGGCCTCCCTCTGCTCCTGAGTCCCAGCACCAGCATCACACCCTCCTTCCCCACAAGCACGGGTCAACAAACCTGGGGTACCACAGCCTCTGAGTGCCAGGGGAGAAGGAGAGGCTCAACCAAGTAGGTGCTCTATCTTCTGACAAGAATCTGAAGTTCTGAAGGAGACCCACAGGGCCAGCGAGCAGATGCCAGGACCGAGGAAGGCGGCAGCTCCCAGGGCACAGTCTGCTCTGCCCTGTTCTGCCTGGAGGCAAAGAAATCCTAGCACTCACCTCTCAGATGGATGTCCCCATAGCAAGCTGCTGGCGGGCATCTACATGGAGCACACCTCTCTCTCTCTCTCTCTCTCTCTCTCTCTCTCTCTCTCTCTCTCTCTCTCTCTCACACACACACCACACATACACTCATACTCACACACTCACATACACACTCAGAAACTCATACAGTCACACATATACACGCACACATACACACTCACATACTCACAAATTCATATACACACTCACACACTCACAAACTCATACACACATAAACACACTCACACACATATACACACTCATATACACACATACTCACAAGTTCATACACACTCACATATACATACCACACACATATACACTCACAAACTCATACACATACTCATATATACATACACACACAAAATCATACACACACATACACTCACACAACACAAACACACATACTCACATATACATACTCAGATACTTACACACACTCATACACACATACATATTTACACACATACATACTCACACACACTCAGTGAAACATACACACACTGTCTCACACACACCCACATGCACACCTACACTGGAAACCCACTTAGAAGCACTGTGCTATGATCCCGAGTCAGTTTATACAGGTTCTCAAAGAGCTCAGGGTAGGGGCAGGTACCAGTAACTGGAGACTCACTGGTCCCACAGTGGGGCAGAACTAAAATAACAAATAGAGGCCAAGGCTGTTCAATACACTAGGAAGCTCCCCCCACCCAAAGAATTGCAGCCCAGGTGAGCACAGGCTGCCACTGCATGAGCCCAGCAGCACAGAGGCGGGAAGATCGAGTTTCATCATAATCTATTCCATGCTCAGGTTCTGTCTGTCCCGTCAATGGCATTGAAGCTAGTCTCCCTCTGCAGACAGGCTTGGTTTGCAGGCAACGATGCTTGCTCCATTTCCACAGGAAAGCAGTCCTTCACTGTTCTGCAAGCACAGAAGCACAACGCCGGCCCAGCTACCTCCCTTTCTTCCCTCCTTTGCTAAGTGCCAGAGTGTCAAGAAGACTGTCACTCCTCTCAAATGGCATCAGTTAACAGCTGTATCAGATGACACATGGCAGTGTGGATGCTGGAGGGAGTCTGGACCACTAGCTGTGCCGCCCCCACTGGGAGGGGGCACAGGGCTGCGCAGGTCCCAGGCAACTGCTGCCAGACGTGGGACACTCAGCTTAAAAGCCGAACATGCTTCCCTCCACCCCAGCCCCAAGTTCAGATTTCAGCAGCCCTGCGTGTCACTGGCCTTCTATTTTCCAGAGGTGTGGCGTAGAACAGCTAGGTGACAGCCACTAGTCTAGTTTGTGTCCTCCACCTTGACTGTGAGCAGACTCTGGGAAGCCTCTACTAGGCTGAAACCAGGCTGGGATCATAGCACAGTGCTTCTAAGTGGGTTTCCAGATGATGGGCTATAGTACTAGGTTATAAAATCAACTGCACAAGTTCATAAAGAGCATTTTTGTTTGCTTGGGGGCCACTCGCAAAGCAAGGGTTACAGCCCTTTGAGCCCTCTCCAGGCCCAAGAGACAGAGAGAGCAGCAACACCCAGTGCAGCGAGCACCATGCAGGTACATGTCTCTGGAGGACCTTCTTTGGAGTAAACGGACTGTGTGGGAGCTGGTCTCTATCACCACTACATGCATCCTTCCTCCCCACTTCCTCCCTGCCCTGCCCTGCCCTAGCCTGGGTTGCAATGTCCCTGCCTTGTGTCCCTGGTCCCTCCCCTGTTCTTCCTGGGCCCTCAGATCTTCCCCATTTGCACAGCACACCCACTCATCAATGCTTTCTGTAAACTGGTGTTTGCGGAGAGACAACCAGCAGCAGCAGAGCTATGTGGGGCTGTGTTCTCAGAAGTGTGAGCAGAAGCCTGGGCCGCTCACTCTGGGTAGTGGTGGCCAAGTCCGTGCAACCATGCCACTGTGCTGTCACACCAACTGCCTTCCCGGGCTGGTGGCTCAGGGAGCCACAGAGCTGAAACTTCTGAAAATAGTTCAGGAGCCTTCACTTATGATTCTTACCAAAATAAGAAATCACACATCAAGTACAAAGGGCTTCTCCAACAAGATACAAGGTGCCAGAGAGCAGAGGCCCCTGGGGGGAAAGTGAGCCCCTCCAGGAAGAGAGGAAGTGTGCTCAGTGTGCTCACTTCAGCACCTCGCTCAGGTGACAGGCATCTGTTCTGAGCCATGATAAAGCCATTTCTGTCGCTGCCAAGAAGTACATTCAAAAATGAGACTATGTCATTTCTGCTCTCATTCCTTCTGGGAGAGAGACAGAGGGGGGAAGCACGCTAAGCAGCTCCCCTACGTTGGATGAGGATGCTGAGGGTGCTGCCCAGGAAAAGGATCAGATATTTCAGGCCTGATCACTCTACTGAGTCAACTGTCCAAGCAGCAACCTGGCCTACTGTAAACGGAGAGCAAGGAGAGAAAGTCCATCTTCTCCTGTCCAACCAGACAAGGCTCTGATGACCAGTGCCCAAGAGCAAGGGACAGCTCCTGCAAGGAACCATTTTCTGATGATCCAGAGGCCAGTCAAGTGCCACTCAGGAACCCAAGCCCTTAGAGTAGTTTGGGCCTTACTAAATCCAAACATACAGTGACACAAACTAAGAAGATTCAAAGGGAGGGAGGAAAAAATGCATGCACCAGTGAAGAAAACAGGCACAAGAGAAAATGGCAACAGATTTGCTGGCCCCCTGTGATCTGTACCGGAACCCTAAGAAATGACATCCTAAAGAGGTCACTGTAACCAGGAAGCACGCCTGCCCCTTGCATGAGCACCAAGCATTTGCTGGGATGCCAGCGCCCGGCTTTGGGGGGCCGTCTTCCGCCCGGCCACCCTGTGGGCCCTGCACGGGGGAGGGGGGGGGGCGCGAAGGGAGTCCCTGGAGCGCTGCGGGCGGGATCTGGAGCCGCTCTCATCCCCGGTACCATGCTGCCTCCCCAAGGTGGACTCCTCCAGCCTGCACAAGCCCCGCTCCGAGCGGGCGCGGAGGGACGCACGCAGACAGACGTGGCTCCAAACAAACAGAAGAGAAGTCCCGAGCTAGGCTCGCCCCTTGAGTCATTAGAACACCGGCTCCCCGGGGCCAGAGGCTTTCGGGGCTCCCGGGGGCGGGGAGGTGGGCGGCTCCGCTGCCCCCAGCCTACCTAAGTCCACAGATCGGTGTGCTGAAGGGAACTGAAAAGGATCAGCCACGGCTGAAAGCACTGTGGCTCAAGGGTTCAGCTGTCCACTGGTGGCTGTCACCCACCACGTTCCTATCAGGCCTGTCCCTGCAGCTGTGACCCCCACCCCTGGCCACCGGAGAGGCGACCGGGAACAAAGGAGCCCTGAAGTCGGTCGCGACCTGTCGTCTGCCAACTTTCCTTCCCTGCGCAGCACGCTGCACGCCCGGGTCCCCGACCGCGCTGCTAGCCCCGCTGCATGCCCGGGTCCCCACCGCGCTGCACGCCCCGATGCAACAAGCCCGAGTCGCCGCACAACTGCACACCCCGGGCAGGGTCTGCAAGGCGGGTCTAAGACTCGGCGCCCCCAGCGCCGCGCGACCAGCGAAGTGACGCCGGGAGAGGCACAAAGTGCCCCCAGCGGCGTGCAAGGGCGGGCAGGGGAAAGCACGCTGGGAAAGAGCAGGCAAAAAAAATTCAATTATAACTTCAGCAACTTTTCCGGGCTGCGAATGGCTTCTCTGACGTCTGAAGCCCCCAGCCGGGCGTCCTGCGGGCGGCGGCTGAGAAACGGGGAGCGGGGAGCGGGGAGCGGGAAGCGAGAAGCGGGGAGCGGGAAGCGAGAAGCGGGGAGCGGGGAGCGGGGAGCGGGGAGCGGGGAGCGGGAGGCGGGCGGCCCCGACGCGCGCTCGGCCCGCCGGCAGCTGTTGATCCCGGCCCGGCCCCGGGCGGCGAGCGCGTCCGGAGCAAAGTCGGCGCGGGCGGCGCGAGGTCCCCGCCGGCGGGACAGGGAGCGCGGAGGGACGGGCCAGGCCCGCGCCCCAAAGTTGCGCGCCCCGCGTCCGCGGCTCACCTAGCACGAGCGTGGTCCAGGTCCGGCCGCGCCCCGCGCGCCGCAGGCCCAGCGCCCCGCGCAGCGCGGCCACCAGGCGCCCCGCAAGGCCACCCCCAGGGGGCGGCACGGCGGGCTCGCCGCGGGCTCCACGCCGGCCCGCCGCGCCCTTGCGCCCGGGAGACGGGGGCGCGCGCTCGGGCCCGGGCTCCCCGGCGCCGGGGTGCGACGACTGCGAGGCGCGGGGCGGCTGCGGCGGCTTCGGGGCAGCGTCCCGGTGCTTGTTCCGCGCCTGCAGGACCATCTTGGCATAGTCGCGCCCGCTCACGGCGCGCGCCCGGACGGCCAGCGAGAAGCCGCGGCTGGCGGGGCGGCCCGGCGCCGCTCACTCTCCCGCGAGGGAGGCGGGCGGGAGGCGGGCCGGCCCCTCCCCGCGGGCGGGGGGCGGAGAGAGCCGCGGGCCGGGGGGCGGGCGCCTGCCGGGCCGTGCGGCCGGGAGGCGGCGCCGGACTCCCGCGCCCGCAGCCGTTGCCGCCGCTCCGGTTGTCAGGGCGACCGCGGAACGCCGGGGGCGGGGCGGGGCGAGCGAGGGGAGGGGCGAGCGAGGGGCGGGGTGAACCGGGGGCGGGGCGAACAGGGGGCGGGGACTTCCCGCCCGTGGCCCCGCCCCGGCGCCTCGCCGCGCCGGACGCGCGTTCCTGGCCGGTCAGCGCGCACGCGCGGGTTCGCAACGCACCGGGTCCCTACCCGCGTCCGCCTGGCGACCCCTTCTTTGGTCGCTCCGCTAGGGCGGAGTGCCCGGCGGGGAGCGTGGGCGGAAGGAGCCTGCTGGCCGGGGCCGACCGGAACGTGTGGCGCCGCAGAGGCCCGGGACGGCCGCGTGGGGGCGCTCGGGGCGCGCTGGCCGGGCCCCCGCGCGGCCACTCTGCATGGGTGGCCCGAGACCCGTGCGGCTGCGGCCCGACACTCCCCGGCCGGCCAGGAAGGCCGTGAGCGTCTCCCGGGAGCGGATCGGACCGGAGCGGTAGCGGAGGGCTGAGCTGGGCTTGGTGAGCGTCACTTGTGCTAGCTTGGTGGCTTCAGAGCAGAGAAAACTTTCTTTGCTGATAGAGTACAGAAGTTTACTCGAAAGCTGTTTCATCCACTCTCCAGCGGAATTGGTGAATGAAGGAAAACCAAGAAAACGTTCCTTCCTTTCCAGACTCCTGCGCGTGCACACCCCCCCTGACTTTGCAGGGGCTCATACAACGTGCACACCTACCTTACTTTACAAACACGCGCAGACACCTTACTTTGCACACACAAGCGTGCACCCTTAGCTTTGCACAAAATCCTACAGCCTGGTATATTGGAGAAAGCCCCTCTTTGGCGGTGTTCAATGGGTTTGTTCCAGTGGTTCTCTTCACTTACCTTTGGAGATCACTGTCACCTGGTTCTGATGATCTCCCTTGTATTTCAAGGGATTTGGCTGTAGCACCTTGGCCTTCAACAAGCCTGCTTAGGGTCATGCCTTTTTTGAGGGACAGTGACTCATAAACAGAAAAAACTTGCTTTATAAGTGAATGACCTTTCATGCTTTGTATTTTTTATAAATTGGAATTTGGATGTTCAGGAGTCTCTTTGAACAGAGTGATTATTTTTTTTCTGTGATTTTTATTATTTTTTTTTTTAGGCTTTAACCCAGGTCTCAAGCATCCTCTGCTTTTTTTTGATACTTTTTGGTTCAAACTGGTAGCGCACAATGCATGCATTCAAAAATACCATGTCCCGTCTAACAGCTGCATAGTATTCCATTGTGTAGATGTACCAGAGTTTCTTTAACCAGTCATCTGTTCTCAGGCACCCGGGTTTTTCCAGATTCTGGCTAAGTGGATGGACATGGAGAGTATCATGTTAAGTGAAAATAGTCAGAAAGAGAAGACATAGAATGGCTGCACTCATTTGTGGAATAAAAAGTAGCATAATATATGGAATAAAAAGTAGCATAATATGAGACTAACACCTAAGGACAGTAGAGATGGGGCGAAGAGGATCATACCATGGTTTGGAAGCTGGTGCCACATGCTGGGTAAAAAAGCAGTTGGAACCAAGAGGGGACCACTAAATAAATAACGATTGGAGGGATCACCCAGTATGGGAGATGTGTCAGCTTTCAAGCTGACCAAGGACCAAATACGATGACCTCTTAGTATCTGTACTGCAAATAATTATGCCCAAAATTAGAGAGTAAGTAGGACTGCACCTGCCACAGAGGCAGGGAATGGGGTGGGGGTGGAAGGTGGGACACTGGGAACAATGGTGGTGGAAAATGTGCACTGGCGTAGTGGAGGGATGGGTGCTCAAGCATTGTTTGAATGAAACGCAATCATACAACTTTGTAACCATATCTCACAGTGACCCAATAAAACTTGTTAAAAAAATGTCAGAAGAATCCACTGTTACTCTCTTAGACTGATTTTTAACTTATTACCTGGTAATAAAGTAAATGAGTGTTACTACTTTAATAAATAATAGCTCATAACTCATTTCTTAATAGTTATAAAGCACATGGGGAAAGTGCAATATTTGAGCTGTTGGATGGCTGGCCTACCCATTCCTCTGGGTGGTATTGGGAGCTGCTGCCCTACCTTGTTGACTGGAGAAGACACTAAGTGCGTAACTGACTGACTAAAAGAATGCAGGTTGTGGCGTCATCAGATGACTCTCGTGACTGTTTTCTGCAGCATTTGAAAGTTCATTTTCAAAGTCATTTGATACTTCTGGCTGTCCTCTCTCATGGTCTGAGCTACACAGAGGATAAAATATTTTTTCCTACTCAACTTCACCTGTTCTCATGCCTTGCCCAGACCTGGCCGTTGAAGCTGGTTTGAACTGAGTGATAGAGGAACCCATTGACATACCCTATGTGTTCACTTGTTCTGACAACCACATGAAGAAACCAAGAACAGTGTGAGGCACTCCTTAAAAACGTGATCATTTGGTGGGCCGGAGAGGGGAAGGTGTTTGCCTTGCACCCAGTCAGTCCAGGTTCTATCCCTGGAATAGCATAGAGTGCCCTGAGTCCCTTCAGAAATGATTCCTGAGCTGGTGGGTATGGCCCAAAAGCCAAAAAGAAAGTGAAAATATGGCCATTTTTGTTCCAGATTCTAGCCTCTGTTCTGAAGTGTCCAAGCCCTGTGGCCTCACCATGACTTTTTTCCTCATCCCAACACAATAAAATCCTCTACTTTACAACTGGTTTATAATAAGTGTTCATCAAGTTTTGGGTGCTGGATCTTATCAAATGCTTTCTCAGTCTTTATTGATATTTCATATGATTTTGCCTGTTTTATCCATGGTCAATGATCCACCAGATGGTCTTCATTGTAAAGCATGTTTTACAAATGCGCAGGGGCTATGGTGGGGGAATCCCACCATTACATCTATCAGGGCACTGTACAAGTGCCCAGAGAGGTGGAGGTGCTGATGTGTAAGGAGAGTGCCGGTCGCCTGGCCTCTGGAGCCTGAGAAGAACAGGACAAGACAGGAGGGAGTTAAGTGACAGTGAAGCGACAGTGATCTTTGGGGGGTAGGGAACACACCTAACTGTGCTCAGGGCTCACTCCTGGCAGACTCAGAGGACCATGTGGGGTGCTGGTGCTGAGAGAGTGGACCCAGGTCAGATTTGTGCAAGGCAAGCACCCATTCTCTCCCTTGATACTAAACTATCTGAATAATGGATTCCCCTACCATAGCCCCTGCACATTTGTAAAACATGCTTTACAATGAAGACCATCTGGTGGGGTCATTGACCATGGATAAAACAGGCAAAATCATATGAAATATCAATAAAGACTGAGAAAGCATTTAATAAGATCCAGCACCCATTTATGATAAAAATTCAATAAAATGAGGATAGGAGGAGCAATTCAGTTTAAGAAAGGCCATGTAGGGACCAGAGCAATAGTGCAGCAGGCAGGGAGATTTCCATGCATGTGACTGACCCCAGTTCTATCCCCAGAATCCCATGTGGTCCCTCAAGTACTGCAGAGGGACAGAAGAGACCCCTGAACATTGTCAGGTGCGACCCAAAAAACAAAAAAAAATAATTTAAATTCAAGAATCACTTGATATCCCATTACTCATCGATTTGCTCAAGCAGGCGCCAGTAACATCTCCAATTTGTCCCTGTAATGTGTTAGTGTAGCCCAATGGCGTCTGCTCGCTCCAGGAACACAAAGAGCCTCAAACTGTTTGTTCAGGGTCTTGATGAAGAAGTATGACCATCTCGTAGATGGGCGGCCACATGTTCTTTTGACGTCACATGGAATCCAGTCAGTAACAGCTCTAGTCCAGCGGTTGTCTTCAAATCACATTACATGTCCAGACCATCTGATTTTCCGTGCCTTGGCAAATGAGACAGCATCCCTGATTCTTGATCGTCGACGGAGGCCAGAACTCCGGATTCCTTCTCTTACTTGAGTGAAGCACAATACTCCAAGCATAGCTCTTTCGATTCCTCTTTAGGTGACCTGAATAGTGTTCTCATCCTGTTTTCGCAGGGCCCAGGTCTCTGAGGCATATGTTAGTGCAGAGAGAGCAGTGGAGTCAAAGAGATGTGTCCAGAGCCATAGGTTCTTCATCCTCTTAGCTATTTCTTCGATGCTCTCTTCCTCCTGCGCAGCTCAGGTGCCAGGTCATTCGTCATGTTGAGTTCTTGACCTAGGTACACATAACTGCTGCATTCAGAGATGTTCATTCTGTTGAGAGCAAATGGAACGTCAGGAACTAGTCCATTTTTCATAAACATTGTCTTCATGAGATTCAGTTGCAGTCCAATGTTTCCACACTCACAGTTGAAGTCAGCCAGCTTTTGTGCCACTTGGCTAATGTTTGATGTTATTAGAACGATGTCATCAGCAAAGTGGAGGTGATGTAGTTGCCGACTGTCTATCTTCACTCTCATTCTAGTTGTCGCACGACATTCTCGAGGGTGGCACTGAAGAGTTTTGGTGAAATGGTATTGCCCTGCTGAACCCCTCTCTTTATATAGATGATCACTTCCTTGTAGGATGGTGAGATCCTGGTGGTTAATCCGTAGTACAGCTCACACAGGATCCTGATGTACTGAGTTTGAAGGCCCTGTTGGCTAGGGCTTTGATGACTGCTTCAGTCTCAACAGAATCAAAGACCTTCTCTAAATTGATGAACGTTAAACAGAGCAGCATCTTGAACTCCTGAGGAACCTCAATGAGCTTGGTCACCATGTGGATATGGTCAATCGTACTGAATCCTTTCTCAGAAACCAGCTTGTTCTAATGGTTG